TACGCTTAATATTATTCCTCATCGTTAATATTTGATGTTTTCGTTTTACAGTGGAAAAAAAACGCAACATAGATGGGGATTCGTTTTGACAATGAAATAAAGTTAAGAATGTTCAATTTCATTTTTTTCGCGCAATTGACAACTCAATTTGAATGAATACCGACGTTCGTAATTACGTAACGCATGATAACCATAGGTTTTTTATTCTTATTAACATCTAATTTTAATGAGATTGCTAACATCCATTCAATGGTACGAGTAGCGTAAGTAGTGAGAATAGTTTGCGGTCACGTGCCTTTCATAGCGACTCGGTTCACCGGTATTTATAGTAAAGTGTATTACGTTGTGTTCGTAACCATGAACGCTTTTACAGTATGTTTGGGCTTACCATAGGTTTGTTTTGATTCCCAATGTATATATACAAACCCGTCTTTGGTATATTACCTATACACGCCTACATTTTTAACCAATGAAAACGCGTCGATCTCGTGCCACAATATTCACGCCTCCTCTCTGACCTCTGCCCTTTGACATCACATGATCGGCTGATCTAAAACGGACGGGAAAAGCACGTTGACAGTTTGGCGTGAAAATAACACCGTAGGGCCTAAAACTGGTAAACATTTTGGAATAGGATACTGTATACTGGAGATGTGTTGACAAATCTGTTATTGGATTATTATAAAACGTAAGTATGATGCATCAAAATGTGGAATATTTTCAATGTTTTGACCGACATCTTTGATCCATTCGAGGTTACGATAACTTTGAACGAGATGTCGGAGGGATGTTTTGTGAAATACCTCTGCAGATATGTTGTATTATCATGATGGCGTGATATTGACTAAATCCCTTATATCGCTGTTTACTTTAAAATGTGTAAATACACAACATGAAGATGACGTTAATGCAATACTGGACCACACACGATGGGAGAATGAAAACGCATCCATGATCCAAAATGGCAATAAATATTTAGAAGGCAAGCGGAGGGATGTTCTTTGTTTGATCTTCATGATAGAGGGTCCTTTAGTCAGCATCATTACGGAAGGGACATTATTATTCTTAGCTAGTATCAGTCATATTTCGAACGGACTTTATCAGCGTAATAAGAAGTACGACCTTTTCTTTGTTTTCTCATTGGGTCCATCACTGAACAGACACTTTGGCAATAGGCCCACAGGCACACTGAAGGGAAAGTGAAATATCAAGGTAGGAAGATGTATAATGTCCTTCCTAGCTAGTTTTTAAATTGGTTGATAAGAGGATCTCTATCAAGTTCGGTCAGATCTGTAAAAAGTTAGCCAGCTCATTAAACTATTTTTTTGCATGACTTTTAAAATGTAAACTTACTTTCCATAGTCTGTCTTTTAAGTTAAAATTATCATTAAAGTAATTTTTCTTTTGGTATCAAGTGTAGACATGAATAATCATTCTGCCTATTCTGATCATGTGATGACCTAAATATTTCATATATAATGTCTAGAGATAATATTATGTATCCGGGATGACTGATTCAATGTGTAATATATTTCATCCCCTCTGGATAGGGGTGTCATAAAGAGAGGAATTCAGATGAGCTTTATGAAGTATGTAGTATTATGATATTTCTATTCTACAAAGTATATGATGAAGTAAACACTGACATGATAATTTCAAGTTTCGTAAATCTCTTCTGGAATGGCTACAAATCATAAGATCATGTTTACAGGGCTCTCACACCCCATTTTGGGCCTGGGGCCCTTAGAATTGGGAAAAATAGCTGTGTTTTCCTTAGAATTGGGAAAACTTGGGGTCTAAATTGGGAAAAAAAGATACTATTTTGCATTGGGAATGAATATTGGCCCAAAATCTGGCAGATCGAGAGCCCTGGTTTATCACATCACTTAATTGCTTGTAAAGTTTACTATCAGAATACCATACTTGTGGTCTCATTAAAAATTATGTAATGAGTATTATTGTACTGATGTTTGTGTAGTAAAGAAGGATCTTGACTAAGTAGAATTTGCATTTGCCACCTTACCTTTGCCGGATGATTAATACTTGAGATTCAAGTGGGTGAATAATTATGTTTCTCTTCTGTCTATTTTATGCCATTTTTCCCATGTTTTGTTTCGGGGGTGGGTGTGGGGTTCAGAAGTTGTTTATCATTGACATTATTGAATATTATTGAATTGTTGATGTGACTTCAGTTGGTTGTGATACTTTTGACTGTATACAATGATGTTATTATGGGGGAATCCTCTTTTCTCCACCCTTCTGTTCAGTCCATTTTGCTCTGGTCAGACAAAGAAATACCTTGTATATGTTTCCTGTAATATGTTGGAAAAATTTATGGTAGGTGGGTGACAAGATAGGCACAAAAGCTTATTTTTTTCACAAACGATTATATGCAGGAAAAAGATATCTTTACTTTAACAGTGCTTACCACAAAAAGGCACAAAATATTAAGGATAGATATAAAATTATCAAAAACAGGAACTTTTTTTGTTTGGCCTGCCCAAGGGCAGGAAACTTCACACTAAAAATTGTGGATAAGGATATAACAATATCAGATGAATTTGAGGATTAACAATGGAACACCTTCATCTAACTTGTGTCAAAGGTACGAAAAGCCTGACTGACAATTTATATATAAATATATAGATTTATTGTCGTTTCTTGTCTCAGATGTTTAACAGCTGTTACAGAGTTAAACAGTAAGTGGTGTTATGAGTATGAATCATCAGAGAGCTAGATTTGAAAAAAAAAATAATAAGTTTGGAAACTTATACCAATACCTGTGAAATTGAGCATAAAATCTGACATCTGTATCCTGATACTAAAATAGAAAACTTGTTGACGAATGTAATAAATTGAAGATATCAAACTCTGAAGGGGTTGTGGCTGTATTACACTAGACTGATAAATAATTCAGTTATTTACTGTAGTGCAATATTTTTAATTCTTTTTAAAGAAAAAAAGGTGTGTTGATATGGTTCTGGATCATGTGCTTTTATTGCTGCATTCCTAATGTATATATGATACGAGGCCAAGTGACGCAGTTTAAATCTGGCTATTCATTGATCTGAAGTGCACTGGTGTATACGAGAAACAGAGCAGACTGTGTAACAGGTTAAGCGGCATTATGTAGGTTTTGTGGTTAAAAGACATGTTTGGAATTTGGCCAAGTGACCTGTTTGTACGTAAGGTATTGTGATTAGTAAACAAACCAAAGTCTATTCAGTAGTCGAGACCATTCATCAAGTATCCTTGTACGCTGCGAGTGAAATTACTCCAAGGATTTTATACATATAGGTTTTGATATAGGTATGTATGAAATTTAGTGATTGACAATAAAAGTGATATTTGTAAAAAATTGTATTCATTTAAGACAACTTCTGATTCAAAATTATAAGAATGTATTTCAAATGCTGCATAAGAATTTGAAGTAGATCATCCTAGATATGAGTCATAATCATGTAGCATTGAGTCGCATATAGTACTGTACTTATTGCCTAAAATAGCATCATACATGTAAGTTAATTTTCAGGACTTTAAAGTTCCACTACGTGGTATGTGACTAATGGTTATTCAGTCTACAAAGCTTGTGTTAGTATATATAGGTATGGTGTTACTTTGAAGATTGAAGACTGCTTTTTCAGAGATAAATGTCCCTGGTATTGAAAGAAGTAATTGATATCTGTTTTCTGTATGTACATGTTTGTTATATATCAAGGTAGGATAAGAAAAATAAGTATTCTTGACAAAAATATATATACCAACCATATTAATACTTCATGGTACTGATGAGGTCACATGCTGGTCAAAGAGAGTTCAGATATGTTTACCTTTCCTGTCCTGTTTTAAGGGGCAAACACATACTGCTTGGGCTGACCATTTTGCAGGACATTGAAACACAAATTACTACTTAAACAGCAATCTTTCAGTGGATTAACTTATTACCAGACATTGGCTTATTGCTGACTTGTCATGTTGTTATGTCAGTTAAAACTGACTGTGATTGCAGGCTCCAATCGTCGAACCAGTAAACAGACAACTAGTCAGAGTCTAGGAGCCCTAATAAAATTCATATTTTCTTATCTGCTTGATGAGAAATTCCCATATTATGTTTGGAACATATAGAAAAACATATTAAAAGGGGCCATTAGTTAACTTGATGTTGTTTTCAATGTTTTCTTGTTAATTCATGCCTCAATCTCATTAAAATACAGATTTTTTTCTTGCTCTGTTACTCTCTGCATACATAGGAACTGACAACATCCCTTACAGAATCTTGAAAGTGAATAAAGTTGGCAAAAAAGCTTGCATTTTATAATTCTATTTCTGCATTTAGAATCAAATTCATTTTGTCGCATCAAATTTATATACATCTTGTTACAAAATGACTTGCGGTACATCAATTTTACAATTTCAACAATTTGTCATGCCACAGAAGTATAGATCATGGAAATGCCACCAGGACATGACCTCTCGTGGGATCAGATCCTTTCTGTAACCGAGTAGGAGTAAGGATCTGCGTTTTGATCAGGTGTTCACCTCTATAACCAGACTTATTGATAGCAATAACGTTTTAAATACAAGCACTATACATAATGTGTAATAGTGTGTAACAACACTTACCTTGTGTTATTTAACACCACATTTTAAATGTCCTCAAAGTTTATGAATGAATTCATAAATAGGTCACATTATGAATGGATGTTGGATATAGTGCGGTGTTGTGTAAACAGTCTGGAGAGATTGGTTAACCATTTACACTAATAGTGTTTGAACATTCATCACATGTACATCGTGGAATGTTATATGAAATACACATTATGCTACATGGTAGATCTTAGCATCATTTAACATTATGTAGCTTTGTCTTTTTAGAATTAGTTATATTTTTAGATAGTTATTGGTATGTAAATTTGTTATTTACTTACCCATTCTAACTTGTATGTCTTTTCAGAAGCCAATTAAGCAGTGATACAAACATTTACTAGCAGCAGTACACAATGGCTCAGTAGAGAAGCATGAGCAATTATTTCGGTTACGTAGGAAAGTTGTTCTCGAACGTGAAAGGTTTCTACAATGAAATAAATGCAGCTACATTGACTGGAGCTATTGACTCCATTATCATAGAACAAGAAGATGGCACATACCTTTCCTCACCATTCCATGTTCGATTTGGGAAGCTGGGAGTGCTTCGTGCGAAGGAAAAAGTGGTACGTATCTGAGAAATAAAAATAGACTTAGATAGTTAGCTATCTTGTCTATAATCTCTTGTTCATAATTCTAAATACAACTACAAGGACACTTTGTTGTTAATGATTTTGGGTCAAACTCTTTGGGGGAGCTAGGAATGACTTTGGGTCAAACTTTTTAGGGGAGCTAGCAGTTATCCTTTGACTGGGTTCATTTTAGGAAGACATCACTCAGGTGGTTAATGAAAAAATAAATCTTTAAAGCTCTTTAATGATATCTTGCATGGCACCCTGTAAACTTATAACACTAATTATTTTATATCTTCCTTCATCGTGATAAGAAAACAGGTGATGATGTCTTTCTGCTGAATTTTAGGTTGACATTTCCATCAATGGACAGCCGGTGGAACTGCATATGAAGCTAGGTGATTCGGGTGAGGCGTTTTTTGTCACGGAAGTTGAAGAATCAGGAGAGGTAAGACAGGTGTTGATGAAATGTTGTTTATTATGTTAAATTTTTAGGCTTAAACTCAAAATAAGGCTCCATCCGTGCTTCAGAATTCATCAGGAGTGTGAATATTTAGTACACAGCACATACTGCATATTAATTCTAGTTTGAACAGTGAAGTTAACTTAGGGTTATCATGGACTACAGAGTGTATGTAGTTTGTATGGTAAATAGTAAAGCATTGTAAATAATGGTTTGATGATGAATTTGTTACAGATAGCATTTACTTATTTCTGAAATCAGTGAATTTTCTCTCTAAAGATCGTTAATTAATATTAATTATTGTATCATGACAAATTTTACAAAGACATGGTAAGACATACACCGTTTCTCCAGTTAGATTATTGAACTAAAATCAAGGAGTTATCTCCCCATAGAATGTCTATTATACCATAACATCTATAATTAAACAAATATGTTTTCCAGGATGTACCATCCTACCTGGCCACCTCACCCTTACCATCACAGGAAGATCTAATGGAGCAAGGTGTCAAAGAGATGAAAAAGAAATTTTTTGATCAGGACCCAGAAGTCAGAATCAAAATGGAAGACCAGGAAGGTAACGGGGAAGAGGTGAAAGACAATCACAGTAAGCGTCGAAAGAAAAGACGCGTTCCAAAAAAGAGAGTATCCTCTGCAGATTCCTGTGATAAGACAACTGAAGTGGAAACTGATATTCCAATGTTTGACATTGATGATATATCATCAGATGAAGAACTGGCCAATTTGCCACCCATGCCTCCGCTTGGCTCATTGGGGAAATCAGTGAGTCTGCCAATCATGGAGGAAAACAGTCTACAACGAACAAGTGACTGGGCTAACACACAATACAACACTTACAGTTATCTTCACCCTTTCAGTGATACTGATATGTCACCCCTTAACAGGTATTGAATTTGTGAATTTTAGCAAATCAAAATGCACATTTTTATTTGAAATCATATCATAATGCACTGTTACTTTCAGTGCAGTATTTAAATCATGTAAACAGTTATTTACTTTACATGTATATCATAAGGAATTCTATTGCTCGTCTCAATGGTTTTAACAAATACTTGATTTTACCGTGAATTCTGTTTTATTTGAAACATCTCTTAAAAAAAATTGTAGAAAAAGAAAAAATGTTCGCTGTGTTTTCCTATTCAATATATTTGAGACTTCAGGTGAAGAGAATGAGAAAATGTCTTTATATGAAATTTCTAACCAAATTTTGATTCTATATTGAAGGTGAAATAATGCACGACAAATTTCTTGTGTGAATCCACATCTTTCAAACCTTTTTTTCCCTCAACATATCAAAATTATGAGATAAGAAATGAGAAATTCTTCATAAAGAGTACCGCTTGGACATCATTTATGTTTTGTGTTAACAAATGTTTTTGTTTGATGAAGAATAAATACCTTTAACTTCAGTCCTGCGAGTACACGACCCCCGTCGCCAAAGAGTGATACAGAGGTCCAGCGACGACACCAGGAAAACGACAATGAGATGATACTATCAGAGGAGGACAACACCATGTGGGAGTGGGGCGATCTGCCGAGGAAAAGCATTGACGAGTCTACAATAGTCCTGTCTGATCCTCAGACCCCAGGACACCTCACGCCAAATGACCAGGGTAACAACCTCTTCTGATTTTATCATTGGATTTACATTCCAGCAAAACTTCCTTATTATAAATATAATATCCTATGTTTTATCAATATACTGCTATAAGTATAATTGCCTGACTCTCTCATAATGTTCAGTTAGATAGCCACCAGCTGCGAGGAAACTCCACCTCAAAATTACTCTGGCTTGTCATCGGGTGAAAAAAGCCTTTAGTAAACAAACAAGTTTAGACTGGTGTGTTGTGGTTATTATCAAGCAATTGTATGATTTTTATGAAGGTACCTCACGAAGTAACACAGCAGAGACTTCAGGAGGTCTGTTCCAGTTCATTAGGAAGACAAAGGCGGTTCGACACAAACCTGAAGAAGAAGGAATCTATCTAGATGATCTTAAGTTAGAGGAGATGGATCCTGAAGTTGCCAAACTCTACTTTCCTAAACGGTAAATTTTATACCATTGATCATGTAGCTCAATCAGACCTGACTATTATACGACTTTTCAAGTGACCATGGTTTTATCAGAAACCCTACAGAACTTGGTTCATACTCCAAAATTTAATTCCGAACTCATTAACTGTGCAATTGGTGCAGTATTCCTCTCCTTTCATTTGCATTTTCCCATATTTCTGAATCCATTCATACTCCAGAGTCTTTCCCAGTGGGACAAACTCGCAGCATAAATTTTTTTTATGGATATTTACATCAATACTCGTCCAACATGATACCTACTTTATAAATTCTGAAATGTACCAGTTTCTGTGGACTTGTCTAACAGAGTCCTATTTACCACTGACAAAACACATGGTAGCAAAAGATTTACATTTTGTATTAAGCTTCTAAAAATCTGCAAATTTTAAGACTTATTCTTTTCTATGATCTAAGTATTTCAAATATCTGGTATTTATAATCTCTTCTACTTATTAATCTTCTATCCTTCAAAAAAACTGGATACACATCATATAGAACATTTAGCTGTATTTTAAATTGTAGATGAAGATATAGTCTGTTATATTTTTAAGAATCTTGTATAGAAAATTGATGTATTTCGTACTCTGTAGGCTTTCAATTTACTAGTTTTAGAGCTGAATGTTGATGTAAAGCTTTGTGTAGAATAGACATGCATGACAAAAAATTGTAAAGAGACATTAGTAATTGTGTTAACAATATTTAATGCTGCATGATTTACAACATTAACAGGATTAACAGTGGAGTCAGAATGAGATTAATCATTCATTTCGTTGAGTGATAACTCTCTGTCTGTATGAATATAATTACAAACATTGTTAGATATAAAGTCTTGTAAGATGAGGGCTACTTTTCTTCTTATTGATTTCTTGAAGTCTTACGTTTAGACCACTTTTAAAGTTTTACAAGATTTCTGAAAAAAAGGTTAGAGAAAAGTGTTCATATATTTGCATTGCTTGCAATAGATTAATTGTCATGTTGCTTTCTTTTTCTTGCTCTACAGATTGTCAAAACAGTAAGTAAACTAACCCCATAACCAAAGAAATACTGTTTCTTTTCCTTTTAATCAAGCATGGATGAATTAATAAAATCCCAGTGTGTTTGATATGGCCCTGTCACACATTTATGATTTGCAGAACATATGGCAAGATATGATAAATTCATTAAAATTCTCTAAAACGCTGGTATATGCTGAACTAGTGATTGTTTTTTCCCTGTTTTTGGAGAAAACATTACTGTATTTATGTGGAACTTCATCATGACAGTTACTTATTTTGTGATTTGAAGATACTAACACATAAACACATGAATTGGATGTGCTAGGACAACCACAGAATTTACTGAACATATTGCCGACCTATAGCTACCGTGTTATGGCATATTAACAGTATTTAAAGTAGTAAGTATATAGGGTTCACACTGGGAACTTGTCTGTAGTCAAAGTTATCTAAGAGATGGATGATGTGCAAGTTATGTCATTCATATGTTGCGAATGCTGGCAAAATGCTTAGCATTTTTTACTTATAGTTTAGAAATAAATTTTGGATGACAATTATCTATACAGATTTTGACTAATGCATAGCCTACAAGTAATTTGTATGAACGATAATATAACTTACCTGAAACTTTGTCCTGGAAAGAGTAAATCACTTAGATTTCGTGAATACTTCATTTTTGTGGCCTTTCCTCTTCAGACATATTCGTTGATACCTTATATGGCAAATGCCAGCCTAGAAACGACTTTGAATTCATGAATGATGAGCTATTAGAGACAAGGACTCTGTATTCGCGATACTTCGTGGTAAACACATCAAAATGGATGACATTTCCATACAAATAGATTTGAATTCACGATTGACTTTCTTTTCATGTTAATGCGAATATAAATCATACACAAAATATAAGTGATTTACAGTAGATGAAACGAATAAGCCATAAACAGCCATATGTGAAGAAAACTTTCAGGAATCTTGCCATACTACTTCTTATGCCAGTGTGTACCAGCAACTACTGGTATACAAAACTTACCTGTAACTTATCCAACACACAGCAGTTTGTTAACCATTTATACATTGACATATAAGCTTGCTAAATCAACAGTATGTGACAGATCTGTCAAATTTACATATTCACCCAAGAGAAAGAAAGCCCTATCACAACCTTGTTTGACCACCAGATTTCATGTATTAGCCTGGTCCATCTTCCTCTGTGCTAATCACCAAACCACTCTTAACTGTGTACAGCAGGTGGTCAGTTTGCTTTCACAATGTCAAGACCCTGTTTAAAACTGATGGAAAAAGAACTTTGTTTTGTTCATCAGTATCTTTCATGATACATATCCTGAGAAGAAAATTGTGAATTGGAGTTGTATTGAATTAAAAACCATATTTACTAATTATTGGAATTAATTTTCCTTGAGTATTAGCTATAGGGTGTAGGTCACAGTTCATATCATTTTTCATTGGAAACCTTTTCAGTAATATGGGTTTGTGCAAAAGTAATCATACAAATACTGATAAGTAATTAACTATATGTTGTTAATCACTATGCGTAATTAGCTGTTAGCCACCTATACATAATTACCTAACTGGAAATATTTGTATGTGTGATGATGGTCACAAACATTAGTTAACTGCACTGTGATTTTAAGTTGTCAATGAGATCATTCCTTTCATTGGAAAAAAACTTTTAAAAAACAATCAACATGTTTGATGGGACTTAGACGGCAAAGTTTTGTTACATTGTTTTAGGCCATCTACTTGTGACTTGTACCCAGCCTTCTTTCCTCCAAACTATAAACCTTCCTTACACAGGGCTTTTTATCCTTTAAGCAATACAAGTTTTCCACCATAACTATATAGATACAAGAATGATCTTAATCTTTGCTTTCCATGGCACTTGTCTATGAATGCTTTACCTGGATGTGATAAAGAGCCATATGTACAGTTTTACTTTTGTTGTGATTTTTTCTGGCGAATCCTGTTTGTTGAATCATTCAAAAGTTGTTATTTTTATCATGATCTGTCATATTCTCTGTGTTTTATATATCTATGTTTTATGGTTTTGTTCTTTTGTTTTAAGTGACTTAATATTTCAATTAATTACTGAAATATCTATATTTGAACTAGGAATAAAAAAAATCTGATGGTAATCTTTTTCTTCATGGGATAGTGGGGGAGGGGGAGGGGTAGGGGGGGGGTTTGAATGGATGAAATAATTTCAAATTTTAAATTCATATCATTTTTCAAATATATTGGTCTTGACCTAAAATTGCAACAGTTATCGTGAAGTTGTTTTTCTGACATCTGAATGTTGTTATTTCATTTTCAGATTCCATCAGTCTCCATTCATGTCCATCAAAGACAAGGAAGAGGATACCGAGTCTGGCAGGGGAGCATCACTTCCTGTTTCACCCAATTCTGTAGAGGGCGCAATTGGAGGTCCCTCTGTCAGCTTCCTGCAGTCAGAAGTTAAACACTTAGGGAACTTCTCCATGTCCTTATGTGGTGGGCTGTCGGACCCTGAGGGTGTTACACTGGAGAAATTCATGCAGAATGTTGTGACATTTGATGACCTCTGTGAAAACTACAATATGATTTCAAGTCCAGAGTTGGTCATCCGTATCAATGAAAAGTATGTTGCATTTTTTCCCCATCGCCACATCATAATTCTGTAAATTAAAAAAATGAGATGTGTTGTTTATTTTCAGTGAAATTTGCTTGTTGTAGTTAGATAAAACATGATGGCAAGTGTTTCCACTGTACAGTAATCATACTCAATCTATTCTTAGTGAAGTTTTCAAACGATACTTTGTGTATATTTTTTGTGGATAAAAATTATTTTGAAATTGTACATCTTTAGAGATGATTTGAAGCCTCACATTGATGGGTATTTTTTCCCATTTTTTAGGCTAAACGTACTCAGTACGCATAGCCTATTGCTATGGCCTTTCAGTCAAAATTTACTGATCCTGGCCTTCTCATTGGCTGAAATATCGAAAAGAGTTAGAGCCCTCTAGCGGCAGTTTTCTGCGTAAATAATGCCGCGATCATTCAAATCGCTATTTTAAAAGCATCCAAAATTAGTTTATTTTTTTAATAACAATACGATTACTATATATTTATATTTTAACATAGGTATTACAACTGGCAGACAGCAGCTCCAATTATTTTGTCACAAGTTGTTTTCAACAAGGATTTACCTGAGGTATGCAGTTTGACTTACAGTCTCTCATTATATTTCTGTATTTACTTTAATATTTCCCAAGATATAAATCACATATTACATTTTGATGCCTTTTTGATTCAGTCAGTTAATTATGATTTGCAGTTTATTCACGTGTAAGGGTTATTCTATTGAAAAATATTAAACGTTAACTACAATTAGTAAACATATAAAATCATAGAAATATTTCACCAGATTGGTACTTAGGTGTGTCCCATTTATACAGTGGTGTAATAGGAAAGATTTATCAAAAATACCCTGCCCTCACTGAGGTTTGAACTATTGACCCTTTGGTCCACTAGCTGGACACTCTACCGCTCCACTGATCAGAAATTCCCACTAGCCAAGACTTGTAAGGCAACCTATACACTGAATTTCTATAGTAGAAAAAATATTTGTGTTTAATTCAAAATGTATATTATTTTATTAGATAACAGTTGACAAGCTTACCTCAGAATACATGCCAAAAAAGAAAGATAAGAAACAGGGAAGTCGTGTCTCTTCCTGGTTTTCCTGGCGACGTACTAGTACAACTCCCGAGACAGGCGTGACAAAACTAGACACGTCAGGAAGTACAATTGACAATCTTAAAACCATGTCTGATTCAGATCTAGTCATGAACAAAACAGTAAGTCAAAAAGAAATGAGGAAACCATTTTAATGATTGAATTGTCCTGTTTACAGCCAATTAAAAAAAGTGGGAGGATGATCCCTAAATTTTTTTTCAAGGCTTCATTTGTGAAGTTTATTTTTCTAATTAAAGATTAATTTCGACATAAGACTTATCAATATTAAGTTTAAAAAAATGCACAACATTTGTATAAACCTGATTTTTAAAAATCATGTCAATGTAAGAGCAAATTTGTAATAGGAAAATTAATGATTTACATCAGTTGGAACTTTACAATTAAATCATACCTTGTAATATAAATTTCCATAGTCTGCCAAGTTTGTTTTTGATTTGTTGAGTATAAATCTGCCAGCCAGTTTTGTACATAAGTATCAAGAGCCACGTTTTAAGTCTTGTTGAATGTACTGTTACAGCAAACAGACGTGTCTGTTTCTACTAGTCCTGCATTGAGTCCACCTCCTAGCCTCACTAGTAGTCCGAGGAAGGAGAGATGCATCACAGAAGAGAGGTGAGAACATCACATACTCCAGGTCTTTTATATCTTCTGGTTCAACACCTTGTATAGGCAGTGTTAGGTGTTACAAGTATTAGGTCGCATTTAAAAAAGAAGAGAAACCTCATGACAAGGGAGATAATCAGTTAAGTTATAACCCTTGCTGTTGGTGAAAAAAAAAATTCTTTGAATCATCAATGTTATACAATATATTCCTATTTTTAACAAAACATGTTTGTTTTGTACTATCAAAACTTTCCTTGATATCACCTATAGGCATTCATTGAAATTAAGTATGCAAGGAGGCAAATTTCCCAAGTGTTCCTTGATTTCTCTTTTTTTGGAATGAAATGTTCAAGTAATTGTTTACCCAGGCTTTGTTCATGTTTTAGTATTAAAGAAAACGAGTAGTAACTTATATATTTGGTTGATTTTAGTGTAAAAGCTGATGATGAACATACATCAAGTGAAGCTGATACAGACTCAGACAGGATGTGTCTAACAGTTCGTAAGCAACTTGCCAGAGACATGTACAAGAAGACACTACGTTTGACATCAGAGCAAATCGTAAGCTTATAATCACCGATAATAATAACAGATACTTACATGAAAAGTATGGATAATTTAATAATTATTATTTTGTATAGATTTGAAAATGTTTGTTCATCTTAAGTTGGACACTGATAAAGCGAATTTGTTAAAGTTTTCATTAATATTCAAACCATTTGAACTTGATACTCTTAAAGCAAAAAATTGTATCATAGATGTATTTCTAATGATACAGAATATCCCAGTTCCTGTGGAAATAGTCCTAAACCAAACCATCATACTGATGGCTCCAGAATAGTATTGTTGATTTGTTTGTCTGACAGGAGATGTGAAACAGTTTCCTGTTTGTAGCATTGTAGTGATAGTGTTTGTGAAATGTGCACCAAAGACAACTGTCAGAGATTTGCTACTAAGATACTGATACAAGATTTCTATCAAATTTTCTATTTATTTTCAATAGAAAAAATTGAACCTCAGAGAAGGTGCCAATGAAGTGACTTTTTCTGTGACGACTCAGTACCAGGGAACGACCAAGTGTACATCACATATCTTCCTGTGGCGTCATGACGACAAAATTATCATCTCTGACATAGATGGAACTATCACAAAGTAAGTTTACACATGAAGAATATCTTACTGTTTTATTGAAACCATTTTACAAGTTACAGTAACATATTGAAGTCGATGAAGATTGATTGATGCATGTTGAGGATCATATAATTTCGAGTTTTTCCTGTGGGACAGATGAAATTAAATTTTTCTGTGGGACAGATCAAATGAAATGAAATGAAATGTCCCTACAGTCATATTGGTGTGAGAAGCTATTCTTAGTCCCTTTACATTTTTAGAACTTTATTTTGTCAAAATTGTTGTCTTTTTAAATAAGTTAAGACACCTGAAAATTAAAAATAAATTATTGTCAGACAAAAAAAAAGTGAATTGAAATCAGGTCTTCTCTGTTATCTGTAGACATTGCGGAATGTATGTGTTGAATTGTTTAGGTCTGATGTGCTGGGACAAATACTTCCCATCATTGGTAAGGACTGGTCACAGTCTGGTGTGGCACAACTCTACACCAACATCCAGTCTAACGGGTACAAGTTCCTGTATTTATCTGCTCGTGCCATTGGCCAGTCAAAGATTACTAAAGACCTGCTGAAGAGTATTAAACAAGACTACCATGTGTTACCAGAAGGACCTCTCCTGTTGTCTCCTACCTCACTCGTCAGTGCTTTCCACAGGTATGTATATAACCACTAACTATACTGATCATTATAGAATCAAGATTATCGATCACAAGTAACAGTGAGCTAATTCTGTCTGCTAGACATCCCACTCCAAATCTTTGAAGTTTTCTTGGGTAAAATTTTGACAAGTCCTCAAAGTCCATAAGTATACATCCAGCTCTCCTCTAAGATGGAGTCAGTAGAAGTCCAAGATTGATATTACAATACTTTTTTGTTGGTGGGAGGGGAGGGGGATTAACCATGATTTGGCTTGATTTCCACACTGAGCCCAAATAACTTCAGATGTCAATATACAATAATGATACAATAAAAAAGGGGTGATGTGAATGAAGATTTTGGATGGATCAGTCTTAAAATCTTATCTGGCCACCAGCCAGTCAATATGAGATCTCTGGGTGCACTATACATTCCTTCCACTTTGAGATTCATACAATGAGACTTGTTTTACAAAATTGGTGCAAAACGAAGATTAATTATATTTATATCATTATACTGTAAAATGAAAAATTTTGTGGGGTCTAAAATTTAGTGGTTTTAGAAGAGTATGCATTTTCGTTAACATTTCATTTTGTGTATAAATAGTATTCACTAAATTCTATTGTTTTAAAGTTCATGTCAATTTTTATTTAATGATTTCTTATCAATGTGTGAAAAGAGCTGTCTTGTGTTTTAAGGGAAGTGATCGAGAAAAGGCCAGAGGACTTCAAAATCGCCTGTCTCAAGGATATAGCAGAGTTGTTCCCTCACAAGAAGCCTTTCTATGCTGGTTTTGGAAACAAGATCAATGTAAGACAATATATTATTGCATGTGCCTTCTTGAATTGGGAAAATTCATGCAAGATCTTTAAAAATTGAAATAATCCCTCACTTTTTTCATACATTTGTGAATTTACAAACACTTACTGGGAAAATAGTGTGTATCACTTTCCTGAAGAGATCTTGTTCAGGCTAGGCACAGTAAAAGAGGAATTTTTTTAATTTCTTGACTTACCTATTAAATGTTACACTTGGCTGTTATTCCATCACTTCTTGTGTTTCACTTTGGTATTTAACCCAAACAGTTGAAATGAAATCTGAAATAATAAAATTACTATACCTAGATGTGTTTTTTATGTTCCAGGATGTCATAGCCTACAAAGCCATTATGATCCCTTCATTCCGGATCTTCACTATCAACCACAAGGGAGAGCTGAAACAAGAGTCTGCGTACACCTTTCAGTCATCGTACGTTAATTTTGCTATATTGTTGGTCAATAAAGTTTGTGCAAATTTAAGAACCCAGCAAACATTTCTACATAATGAAAATTTAAGAAAATATCTGTTATGCCTTATATATGGACACCAGTTCATCTGCTTGTGTGAAATTAAATACTTTTGAACAAGCCTAGAGAGTGACAACTGTGAATAGTTTGTTCTGTGCTTATCAACAACTATACAATATACAAAAATGCTGAGAGGAGTTGTTTACTTCTGTGTAAAGCTGTACATGTCTTATATATTGAACAAAAACATGTCGCTGTTTGTTGATCAATATGCATTGGACACATGGTACATCAAACTGTCACGACCTAGCTTTATTGAAGTGAAATGTGATTTATTATTTTTTTATGATGAAGCTGTTTGTATTGTCTCAAGCATAGAGGGAGTTATTTCACCTGTGTTAAAACGTTGATCGATTTTCAGAAACACATTGAATGTGATATTCAATCAGTAGATAATTATACAGTCACTATGGGAAGTTGTTTTTATAACTGCACTTTTAGAACACATAATTGTGACTCTTTTCTCTTATCTCATTTTACATGCTCATTGTTTAAAGACCAAGGCGTTGTACTGTCTTTAGAAAATTTGAGAGTATTCCTCTATTGTTTTAGAAAGAGATACCATTGGTATCGAATTATAAAGGAGAAAAAGTTGAATATTTTTTGTTAAAATCATGCTGATCAACTTTTTTTTGCTTTTTATAGGTATCTAAATTTAAATGACGTAGCAGATCATTTCTTCCCTCCTGTTCAGCGACTACCAAGTGTTGTAGCTGCAGAATTCAGTTCAGTGACATACTGGAGAGATCCCTTACCTTCTCTCCCAAATATTGACATTTCAAGCCCGGTGGAGATAGAGCCCCCACCTTCTGTCAGATGACAATCACCGCCCATGGACATCCTGTCTGTATCACTGCCACCAACTCTCCACCAACCTTGTACCAACAGTATTCCAATTCCACGCAAATCACAGTCCTATGATGATAAAGCAGAATCCTATGTGTTACCAAGTAAAAACAGTCTAGACATGCACTTTGACTTATCAGATTCAGACAGTACTGATTGTGAGGAGTATACTGCGGATGCTTTTCAAGACTTAGGTGTGGCATTGAAGACATATGGAAAAACTCGGACACCAAAACAGAAAAAACGATACTGGCTGCTGCCATTTTACATGTATCTGTAGAACTTCTAGATTAACACTTAACTACAACTTTCACTTACTTTCTCACTATGAATCAAATCCAATGTCAGTATTCAGATATAGAATTTGATATTTGGAGTGTTTTGAATAATTTCTTTCATGAAAGTCTTGATAAATAAGTTTTTAAATGTTTTACAGTAATATTCTGATGAGAAATTATTGACATTAAATCCATTTATGTAACAGTGAATAAAAGAAATTGAGACTATACAAGATAAATAAGATTACTAAGTTACTGATGTCCTGAGAATTTCCTTTACACGTCATATTGAAAGGACTTTGATACTTTTAAAAGCTAGATTTAGTAAGAATAATATTCAGATGCCGTGTAAAGTCCAACATATTAATGTATAATTTTCCTATAACATCATGCAAGAAGACTTGTATTTTCTGATACAAGTTGTCTGATTGCTCAGCGTAGCAGTGTCTAAATATAATTCTATTAAAAGGCACTTTGTCAGAAAAACAGAAAGTTTTGAAGGAAAAAAACTTTCTCTAAATACATATAAGACAGACTTGTTCACGGTATTTACATGCGATAACAAAGCCGTATTGTATAAACTGCAGACATCAAACACATTTTGTTTGGAGTATAAACAAGTGTATTGTCAAAATTTTCTCCTGATGGGAACAAATTTGATAGTTTTTTTTTATCTTCGTTTTTGAAATTAAACTCAGTTTGTAGTATAAAATCATTATAGCTCAATTCAATAATTTTGCCTTAAAATTAATATATTTTCAAATCTGAATTACCGCTGTCTTCCTGTTTTGAATGAAATATTAAACTGCTGTATACTTTAACATCATTAATTTTTACAGTTCAAATAGAGACGTTCTGTTTCCACTATTTCAAGTTTGTAGCCTTAACTTTGGTATCGATGTTTAGGGTGTCTGTGTTGAGATGTCCATGGATAGTTCCTATATACATAGTGTATAGTATGTTATCATTTCATTTAAAAAAATCATTGAATCATTTGATTTCAAGAATGTTAAATTGTTTCATGTTGAAACTATAATCCTAGAGTCAACAAATGAAAAAAGTAGAAATCATCACCAAAATTCATTTCATTGCTCTAAGTTATCAAAATCACAATCATTTCAAGTTGTTGAATATGATATCGCCTTAAATTCCTTAAGCAACTTTGTTTTCATTGAAATTATCTCCCCTTAGTTTTAAGATTACTCACAATCCTGCATATCGGTGTAAGAGAGATGAAGAGCCAGTTATTGCTTGAACGGTAGAGCCAGATATTAATCCCATGTTAAATGATCTTATTTATTTGAAAGACAGACCATGAACGGAATGAGAGTTTAAATCCTGAAAACACAAGTAAGGTCATAAAATTAGAATGCTTGTTATAGTTGTATTTGCCTTTGTTTATATTTGTTAAATATATCATTGTTTTATGTTATTCATTTTATGCTGTAGAAAATTTGACTATAGATTATGTATATATAGGGTTTTTGTTGTTAACATCTAGATGTGTTACTCGTAAATATCCTTTAACTAAGGAGTTCAATTTGAGAAAATAACAAATTATCTTCTCTAAAAGATCTTCCACAACTGAATTTCACTAGATGAGCAGGTGAAAATTTGTGAAATACTTTCATTTAGTGCTTATTGTTTTGGAGGAATCTGCCAAGGTTCCACTTGAGAAGAACCCAGTTGACCATAAACAATTGATAGAATATTGAGTAATGCGATTGGTTTATTCAAATGAAGTGTGATTTTCTTGGAATTAAGATGAAATTGAAGAGCAATTTGGCACCATGAGTTTTTGTGTCAGAGAAGTTGTAGATGTTAAAGTAAGAAAAGTAAGTTATCTCTCAGGGAGAGTTAGAATGCAAAGTGTAATTTCTCAATCTTCCTTTTTTTTTCTTTTTTAAACTTTATTTATTTTACAACAATTTGAAACAAATATTTCAATATATATTAATTACACTTGTTGACTCTGATGAAAACATGCAAGGGGTCTTACTGTAGAAGGAAGCTGGACGACCAAGGGAAAGCCCATGTGGTCGGTAGATGACCCCATTACCTTTTCATATCTGTTTTGGGATTCACACCCTGGATGTTTGGGGTTTTTTCAATTTTCATATCTGTTTTATGTCTATACCTATTAATTTGAACACTATTTAACAATTTTAGTGCTATGATTTTTATCAGATGAAAAGTCAATACGATAAGTGTTGATTTCATATGATATTTTGAACTGGGATAATTGTTTCATTCTCTGTCAAAAGTCTGCATACTTTTAGTTTCTTTATAAAATGTGTTGAAAATATTTGAATTATACATCATCAAATGTTTCAATTATTTTAATTTAGCAGTGAAAAAAAAGTCACTTCCAACATAATTGTTTAGCACAGAAACTTGGTGAAATTATACCATTTTTCCTGAAGTGCAATATCATTCTGTCTCCATATAAAATATTGTTTTAATGCCCCAACCCCCCCTCCCCACTACCCCATTTTTTATTTTTTTCTATCCCAAGGGAAACCGTCATATTTTGTTACCTCGTCAGAAATGCATATTTTACTAAAAACTATTTAGAACAATGACAAACAGTGAAGTTTGTCAGACTTGTTTATTTCAGTCTCTTGGAAATTTTACAGAATTTCTAAAACAACGTACAAATGCTAGTTGAAATATTTAACTTTCACGTAAAAGATATATATTCTAACCTCATTATCTTCAATTAGAGCAGGGCCATGGGAAACTTTTGAGTTATCCGAATATTCAATGTCAGCGATAATGAATGTTTGGTGTCAGGTTTTCCAGGGCCGATGATATACTTTCAATGAAATGGGGTCTTCAAGTTCTTAGCTTAATACAACTGACTTTAACAGTAGTTATATACTGTTAAGTGTTGTACAAATTTTGTTAGGTTTATAGATACTCTTATATATTCCTTAATATGTGTTAGTATAGTTTTGTTAAGTATTGTGTTGAAAAGATTATTTATATATATATATATATATTTGTGTGTATGAAGTTGTTTTACAGTGTGAGTAAACAAATATGCATTGTTCTAAAATTATTTTTTCAAATACTACAAAAGAATCAAAATTTATGTCATATAAAACTGAAGGCTCTGGTCTTTTCAATTATTTAATTTTTTCTTTGAACATAATTTTTGTTTATGAAGTATTATTCATTTGAATATTATTTTTTAGGCAGGCGATTCAGGAATTTATTTTTTCAGTAAACTGCCAGTTTGTGCTGAAGATTGGTTACTAGGAAACTATAAAATAAAAAAATTTAGTACAATATTCTGTATATAAGATTCAGAATATCCAATTACTACTTACAATAGTGATTTGTTTCTGTGTCAGGTTGATTTCTGATCTATTTAAAAGTTAGATTTTAGGATAGAAGTTTTCCATTTAAGTCTCATCTACGTGCTGATACCTGGTAGTTAGATAAGGAATCAGTAAAGATATATTAAGCTTGGGGTATCTAAACTTTCCTGCTTTTTTTTAAAAAGAGTTACCAGAAATTTATTTATGATTCCAGATAAGAAATGCTGTCCCTGTGCAGTACAAAATCGTTACTTACAGGGTTGATACTGTATTTTGACAAGGACTTTAAGTGAATATTTTTTGTCCAGTTGTCTTAGATTGTCTGTACGGTTTCGTCTGTCAATCAGCTACAAGGAATTTCGATTCTCTGATCAATGAAACACTAACTTTTTCTGGTATTTTGTTGCATATTTTAAAAACAGTTTCTTTGATGATTTGAAAGTCAAAGCATTTTATTCTTTAATGTTATACTTAAAAATAGGTTATTGTGGTTTTTATGTGATATTTGTGAACATCTGTCTCAAGAAAAAAAATCTCTTTTATAATGTTGTATTGTATTGTAAGCTATAATTAATTAAAAAAAATTCAGATGAAACGACTTCCTATATAGGTTAGAAATTCAGCTGTTAAAGTGCATCGTTTACAAAGTTATATCCGTTATGTGATAACAGCTTGTTCTTACCTATTTCTTCTGCTTCTTCATCCTTGAAAGGGAAATCTTCTGTGATGGTCGAGAAAGGGGAGATGTGATGGTCCTGTCAGACATTATATACAATAATTACTTAAAGTGATACCTATCTAGTTTAATTAATTAGTTGAGCATATTAATGGCATTTTTATAGTTGGAGATTAAGGCAACGATCAGAAGCCTAGGATCTGTGAAGACCTGTGTATTACTGGACGTTCGGGGTCATGATCTTTTGGAATCCTGGATGGAGTTGTGGTGCTCAGTGGTATAGGTTTTTATTAACATTAGGGTTTTAACCATCAGTATGGAATGTGATATATAGGATAGTTAGCCAATGGTGAGGATTTGTAAGGTGTGAACTTCAGGATAAATTCTATTAAGAAGTTGCATATTTTCGATGGGTTTATATTGATATTGTTGGTGCTGTCATGCTGAATATGTTTGATTTTGTGATAAGGTTTTACTGTTGACCCTGAATACAGGACAAGTTTAATCTAATGCAATGAAGAGTAATGAAGGCTGTTTAGAAATGTGATCCAGAACTTATTTTACAATTGTGTGATAAAACCAAAAATTAAGGCTGGAATTAAAGACTTAAAACAGCAAATTCCTTCAAATAGAAATCACCAGGTGATCGGAACTTGATTCTAGAATATTTTTTGAATTTATTCCATGAATAGAGTTTGATTCTAGCCATGATAATTAACTGTGAAATGAGAAAGTGATAAGGACAAACTGGATATAACATGTGATGTTTCTGTAGACCGAAGTTGTGATTGCTGAAAGCACCTATATAAAATGGTAAGTTAGTTTTGTGATATGGAAAAAGTTGAGTTGATTTAAGTTCTTGAATGTTGGGTTTCAAGTCAGAATGTCAGGTTTCAAATTAAACATTGTAAGAAAAGAAATAAGTTTGGTGATTTACACACTAAGCATGTTGAGAAGATACGTTGTTATTTGTCATTACAGCTGTATCAAATAAATACTTAGTGTGCGAGTGTCCAGTCACAGTGTGTTGTAGGTGACAAGA